CCTAAACGGACTGGTTTCTTCATATCAAAACTACAATAGGTAAGTAGCATTTATCTTTTTTCAGGGGCCAAAATTGTCAAGGAGTGAAAACAAATTCAAGTAATCACATTTTACGGAAGTAGTTTGTGGTTATATTTCATTACAGTGTACAAAAGCCACAATGTAATCAGGCCTGTTTGGGTTTTTTTTTTTTTGTTTTGTTTTTTTTTTGCATGAGTTGTGTTGAGTGAAGAGTATTTACCTGTGTCCTGTTGCAGCCAGGAAGTAAATGCAGCAATGGACTCTAGTATCAGGTATTCTCCTCTTACGGTTGACATGCAGCTCTTCTCGAAGATATTTCTCATATTGCTCATTGATGTACTTGACGATGGGCTCCCAACTTGAGGAGAGAGAGAGTATGGAAGAAACATAATTGAAACACAGAATTCATTTCAAGGGGAAGTCAATTCAAAAATGTTCTTTCCAATAATATATGCCCCACTAGTGTAAACACAGCATTCTAATTAATATTACACTTTTGGAACATGAATTAAGTAGCAAAATCCACCCATTTTTATCCATTTCAGAGTGCTGCCGTTTTGCTACTTGTTGTCGACTGAAAATGATATCACAGTGCCCAAGGGCTCAGGTAACAACCGTCATGGCTCAGCTGTTTTCTGGTTTTGGCCAGCTAACTTTCACGAGCTGAGAGCCCTTCGACCAGGGGTGCCCAAACCTTTTTGAACGAAAATCTACTTTTCGATCAACCAAACTCCCGCGGTCGTCCAGATTACCATTCTTTGCGAGTGCCATCGGTGAATTGTACAGGAAACGCACTTTGCCTGATAATAATAATCATAAAGGCTACATTGCAAGAGCTCTGATCGCAAGCTGCAATTGCAGACTGCTGAGCGCAAACAACTTCCGGTGACGCAGGGTCACGCGCCACCGTACGTTAAAGGTGACCTGCTTTATTTTATTTTGTTTTTTATAATATTAATTCATTCATTCATTCATTCATTTTCCGAACCGCTTTATCCTCACAAGGGTCGCGGAGGGTGCTGGAGCCTATCCCATCTGTCTTCGGGCAGTTTAATATTTAGTTTTTTAAATATTTTTTGTGAAAGTGAGACTGCTTGGGTGATTAGAGTGCAGTGTGCATTAACACAAAAAGTATATTACTAACACGCACAGAGACACACATCGACTTGGGACCAGTCCGCAACCTACCGGTCGATTGCGATCGACGTAATGGGCGCCCCTGCCTTAGGCATTGTGATGTCGTTTGACAGCAAGTGGCATTATGGCCTTGTCCTTTGAGAGGGATATGATTGGGTGGATTTTTCTACTTAGTTCATGTTCCAAAAACACAATATTGATCAGAACACTGTGTTTTCTTAAAAGCAAAAAAATACACGATGCACAAAATGACTCAACTTCACATGAACTGTCTGATGTGTCATTAAATACAAGTATTGTAGTAAATGAAACCAAATCTTATTTGTAAATACACTCTCTCCATGAAGTGTATTTGTGTGTGTTCTTCGTGGTCTTGGCTTATGTGCTGCCTACCAGTTCTCATTGTTGATCTGGTCTCCAAAACCTGGAGTGTCAATCACTGTCAGCTTCATCTTCACTCCCTTCTCTTCAATCACTAGAGAGGAATGCAAAATACAGGGACTTTATAGTACAACTCATGAATGCATGGTCACTTATGATGAAGAAAAAAAACCCTTGTTTGTACACCATTGCATCCAAGAAGCACCTTTTTTTCTTTTTTGAGTCAGTGTCATGTGTGCTCACATGTGTGGCCACTTATCTATGTTGGACCGATGTTGGGCAGAGGAGCAAAGGCTATCATTTAAGTACATTGACAATGTTGAGTAACCACTGAGGAATCTCCTTTCAGCAGAAGCAGGGGAGCAAACATCTGGTACCTGAATCACTACGATTTTCACTAACCTGCAATAAAGCACCACATGCACTGTCTCGACTAGTGTGTAAGTCAAAAGCACAGTACAGAAAGTGGCTTCACAGGTCGTAACACCTCCAATAAGAGAGCAACAACTAAACTGTGTTTGCCTGTGATTGACTGTCATCACAGAGACAAGTGAGCAGCCACGAAGCAAGAGAAAATAACATCAATAGATTCACAGTATTGTCATGAGGTGATCTAATGATCTGTCATTTCCCATCTATCTCCACACTGAAGTAAACTACGTTTCTAATGGACTTCACAGTTGTTGGAGGGACACGATTACACAACTGTGCAACTGTTGTTTCACTTCCGAAAAAAATCTTCCCGATTTATCGGTGCTGGCCTCAAACTGCACTGACTTTTGGGAAGGGTTATATTGTGTAATTCTAGATATGAAACTTGAGGGAAATTTCCACCACCATAATTTACACAGTCAAGAGCAGCAAGCTGGAGGTGATGAATTTCTAAGTGTCTCTCATTTTGTGCCTGAAGCTGTAAATAATCTCATTAAATGGGAATGGACAACAATAGAAAGTGATACATCATTTTCAAACATGTTTACTGGGATACTGACTGCAAGCAGCATTGGTAAGGATTGCTACGGGATAACACGTGAAAGATCGAAGAGCCAGTTGTGAGTTGTTGAGTTGAGTGGAATATTGTTGTGCACAAAGTTTTAATGCTTTGAACTTCTCCTCACAAGGGTCGCGGGGGGTGCTGGAGCCTATCCCAGCCATTTTTGGGCAGTAGGCGGGGGACATCCTGAACCAGTTGCCAGTCAATTGCAGGGTGCACAGAGACGAACAACCATACGTGCTCACACTCACACCAAGGGACAATTTAGAGTGTTCAATCAGCCTGACATGCATGTTTTTGGAATGTGGGATGAAACTGGAGTACCCGGAGAAAACCCACACAGGCCCAGGGAGAACATGCAAACTTAACACAGAAAGGCCGGAGCCGGGATCGAACCCACGACCTGTGATTAAAAATCAGTTTTGCAGAAATGTCATTGATTATCCAGTTGGGTGAGACATGGAGTATCTCTTGGTCTGGTCACCTGCAGGGCACAAATACATTGTAGACAAAAAATATATAGACCTGTATTGACACTTACATTCAAATGTGTGAGCAATTTACAGTCTACATAAGATACATGTTTTTGGAACGTGGCAGCACGGCGGACGACTGGTGAGCACGTCCGCCGGACACTGCAGAGATCCGGAGTTTGATTCCGGACTCCTGCCTTCCTGTGTGGAGTTTGCACGTTCTTCCTGTGCCTGAGTGGGTTTTCTCTGGATATCCCAGTTTCCTCTCACATTCCAAAAACGGATGGATGGATAGACAAAGTCAAATACTCCATGAAAACTCATGTAAGCATACGGAGAACATGCAAACTCCACAAAGGAAGGTCAAGATTCGAACCCAGGATCTCACGATTGTGTGGCAGCTGTGCGAAATGTCGTCATCACTTTTACCACATCCGCAAGTTGAAAGGATCTGATGATTTCAATTTTGAGTCAGGTCCTGTGATGGCAAGCCTCACTTCCTCACCGTCTTCTTTCAAAAAACTGCTCTGAGGATTTTCATCAAGAGCAAAATAAGTGATGACTTTGTTACAAAAATGTGACCGACAGATTATTCCATCCCCTCACTAAAGCTTTTAAGCACACAAAGGAAAAATAACGGGTGTCATGTGAAGAATCTCTGCATGCCTCAGTTCCATGACCATATCTAGGCTTTTTCATTGCGTCGATGATCTCATCAGACTGCTGTTATGGTTACATTTCTGCAAGGCTGAAGCTTTCCTGACAAGTTCGCTCCCGTTCTCTATATTTCAATGTCTGTACCGCAGATGTGACATACAGTACTGGCTTGAAGATCCATGAGCTTGAGAAAAAGTTTACAGGTGATATCCCAAAGACTTTAAATCCACATCCGTAGATAGATTTTTTATTTTATATTTTTTTTAAATACGGTGATACAGTATATGTATGTGTATGACTGTGTGTCGGTGTGCGGACTTACTGTGGCTCACTGACTGCAGCTTGACCGTTTGGGAGATTTTCTCCTCATAGTTTGGCGTGCAGGACTTCCTGCTGACTTTAGACTTGAAGAGGGTGTTGACCATTGTTGATTTCCCCAAACCACTCTGACCTGCAGAAACAAATCAGGTTACGGGTGGGTTTTTTTTTCTGAATTTCAAGACTTTTGCCTGCTACCTATATTTTAATCAAACAAACACAATCACGAAAAGTCTGATTTTGTGTGTGCCACACATCGCAAATTCCTTGTTTTGTTTTTATCATTTCTAATTTAAATTTTAGTGTCCTTTTTAAAATAATAACAACATATGGGTGCATCTCAGGCTTATTATTGACATCCCTCCGAGCTCACTGATGCTTTCACCACTACCCAGAAGTTGTTCTTAGGCTGACAATTTATCGAGGACCTCATCTTGTCTTAATTGCACACGAACGAGTAAGGATCGTGGAGATTCAGCAGAGGTGCTATAATTGAAGAAAAACTGATGTTTCCTTTTCTGAAGCCTTTTAGTTCCATGACAGTAACATATTATCTCAAGATGGCCGTAGGCCAGCTGGATAATTAACTGAACAGGAGTTCACAAATGTAATAATTTGTCATTAGTTTTATTATTATTTTTTTATTATTAGTTGACTTTAAATTCACATTTTGTCAAGTCTCTGTTTTATTCGAGCTTTGTTTAATTATGAAATGACTATTAATTTGTTTGTAGTCACATACCCGATGAAAAGCCTGTAATGGATTGTCATGTTCTCAAATGCATTCAGCAACATCAAGAAAATTAAAAAAGCAGCAGACCTTCAGGTGAAAATAAGGCCCAACGGGACGGTGAAGTGCTGATGGTACAGTGAAGACCTTTTTATCTATCAGAGGAGTTCAGTGTGTTCTCATTCTGGCTTGTGACATCACACCACGGGTTAACAAGACTACAGGTACAGCATCAATATCAATATACACTCACCGACCACTTTATTAGGTACACCATGCTAGTAACGGGTTGGACCCCCTTTTGCCTTCAGAACTGCCTCAATTCTTCGTGGCATGGATTCAACAAGGTGCTGGAAGCATTCCTCAGAGAGTTTGGTCCATATTGACATGATGGCATCACACAGTTGGCACAGATTTGTCGGCTGCACATCCATGATGCGAATCTCCCATTCCACCACATCCCAAAGATGCTCTATTGGATTGAGATCTGGTGACTGTGGAGGCCATTTGAGTACAGTGAACTCCTTGTCATGTTCAAGAAACCAGTCTGAGATGATTCCAGCTTGATGACATGGCGCATTATCCTGCTGAAAGTAGCCATCAGAAGTTGGGTACATTGTGGTCATAAAGGGATGGACATGGTCAGCAACAATACTCAGGTAGGCTGTGGCGTTGCAACAATGCTCAATTGGTACCAAGGGGCCCAAAGAGTGCCAAGAAAATATTCCCCACACCATTACACCACCACCACCAGCCTGAACCGTTGATACAAGGCAGGATGGATCCATGGTTTCATGTTGTCGACGCCAAATTCTGACCCTACCATCCGAATGTCACAGCAGAAATCGAGACTCATCAGACCAGGCAATGTTTTCCAAACTTATATTGTCCAATTTCGATGAGCTTGTGCAAATCGTAGCCTCAGTTTCCTGTTCTTAGCTGAAAGGAGTGGCACCCGGCGTGGTCTTCTGCTGCTGTAGCCCATCTGCCTCAGAGTTCGACGTACTGTGCATTCAGAGATGCTCTTCTGCCTACCTTGGTTGTAACGGGTGGTTATTTGAGTCACTGTTGCCTTTCTATCAGCTCGAACCAGTCTGGCCATTCTCCTCTGACCTCTGGCATCAACAAAGCATTTCCGGCCACAGAACTGCCGCTCACTGGATATTTTTTATTTTTCGGACCATTCTCTGTAAACCCTAGAGATGGTTGTGCGTGAAAATCCCAGTAGATCAGCAGTTCCTGAAATACTCAGACCAGCCCTTCTGGTACCAACAACCATGCCACGTTCAAAGCCACTCAAATCACCTTTCTTCCCCATACTGATGCTCGGTTTGAACAGCAGGAGATTGTCTTGACCATGTCTACATGCCTAAATGCACTGAGTTGCCGCCATGTGATTGGCTGATTAGAAATTAAGTGTTGACGAGCAGTTGGACTGGTGTACCTAATAAAGTGGCCGGTGAGGGTATATCGTGATAGATACGTGCTCAATACCATTATAAAATGTAAAAATATAAAATAAATCTGGAAGAAAACCCCGACCCTGGCACTCTGTGCTGTAGGCAGATGCTCTAGTATGTTGTTAGATTTGTGCCATCATTACAAGCACGTTGGAGAGAATTTTGAGTTTAAAAGCGTATTTTGAGTCCAGCAGAGTCACTGATTGCCCGTTTGCCGACAGCGAGTACTCGAAGAAGAAGCAGCTGAAGCAACGAAGAATGCTCATTAAGTTATGATAAGTTATTAAACAATAACATGTCATATGGCAATGATGAGCCTGCTACAAGGTGAATGTAGAACAAAGACAGACGGCTGGTCAACTGTCATGCATGCACTCCAAGAGAGTGTTAGTTCGCTGCACTATCACGTTCTCTGCACAACGAATGAAGGTTAATGTAACAGTATCAACGATGGGGAGTAGCGTCTTCCGCAAATCAGCATTTATGGTGGCGCTTCTTGAGCCAGGAGCACAGGTGAAAAAAAAATGTATATGACACTGCATTCCAAAGGACACGAAAACATTGTACATTCCTTGAAAATATGTTTGACTACCGGTATTGAATGGTATTTTTCCTCTGAGTTGTGGTGTTTTATTGTAGTTGATCTATAAACAGGGGTGCCCAACCAGTCGACCGCAGAGGTGTTTTGGGGAAAAAAAAAAAGTTTTTTTAATTTTTTTTTTTTTTTTTTTGACGTGACAGGAAGTCAGTGTTGCTATACAGTGAAACTTCTCTACAACGAAATCATGTTTGCAGCAAGACATTTTTCACAACAGGGGGGTTTTCACTGGAGCAAATTTTATCTCAGATGTAAACACACACACACACACACACACACACACACACACACACACACAAAACGTATGTGTGTATTCTTTATTTTTATTCCAATACTGTAAATAGTGCATAAATATGAGCATACACTGATTTGATATTGTCTAACATTCACATACAATTGTTTTCTATTAATCACTCCACATTGTCTGTTGGTTTTAAAAAGTCATTTATACTCTTTTACTTCCCAACACTTCTCAATTTCTTGGATAAAATTGAGAAGTGTTGGGAAGTCTTTTATTTGCTTCCTCCGTCTTTCATTTTGATAACATTTACACTCTCTTCCGGCGTCAGAGCTTTTCTTGTCTTAGCTGCTTGACATCCAAAGGTCTGTTTTGTAGCCATTTTAGCAATGCTGCGTCTGAAACTAACAATAACAAATACTTCCTGGACTACTGCGCATGTGTAAACCAGTGGTTGCTGTTGCCATTTCAAAACGTAGCAGTAGAGGTCGTTGTTGCATTAGACTTTTGCGGAAGGCTTGTTTTCGTTGTAGTGAATCTTGTCGCGAGGCAAGAGCAGAGAAAAAGATTTCGTATAACGGAAGAGGGGGATTTTTCGTCGTAGGGGGAGCAGAAAAGTGGGAATGGCTTTCATGCATAAACATTTTTTCACATTAGGGGGTATTTTCGCCCATGTAGGTTTCGTTGTAGAGGAGTTTCACTGTCACAGTACACATATTTACTTAAATATTGAATTCTAAAACCTTGTACAGTAATTAACATTCATCAGCATTGTCTTTATGCAGCTGTGACAGTGTAGCCTCCATTAGCCTCCAGCGAGCTGCTGGCCAGCTATCCCACGGCGCAAAGCCAATGTGTTTATGATTAGACAAGTAAGGAGGCGAACAGATACTGCTGCTTTTTTCTTACAGAGATGAAAGTGGACTTTCCTGAAAATTCCGGAAAAAATAAAAAATTATAATAATAAAATTATATATACTGTGTGTAAGGAGGCGAACAGATACTGCTGCTTTTTTCTTACAGAGATGAAAGTGGACTTTCCTGAAAATTCCGGAAAAAATAAAAAATTATAATAATAAAATTAAAAATATTGTCTGACATAAACCGGTCCGTGGGGCAAAAAAGGTTGGGGACCCCTGAAATAGCAAATCCAGCGCTGGGTCCAAAAGGGATTAAGCTGACGCTGGGTCATTTCTACCCATTGCAGTAGATTGAGGGTTTGACCCAACATGTTGGGTCCGTATTTTGATCCAACAAGGGGTTTAAATAGCCATAGTGATGAGTAAGAGCTCCTAGGAATAGGGTTACCATGTTATGAATAGAGCCATAGTGGAAAGTAATCCTAATTGCATTAGCAGCATTTTCTAAGAAGCAGCAGCAGGGTCACCACAGGTAGTCACTCACATGATGTTTTCCCGTTGGTGACCCATCTCCCCTGTCTTCCTTCAACCTCAGTACAACACTAAACTTCAGCTCTTCAACCCACCCAAACCCAACCTCTGTTGGGTCAACCCAGCGTTTTTTTAGGGCACATGTCACGTGTTCGAACCTCTTCTGAGTGTTCCTGGTCTGCTGAGTGTACCTTTACCCTCTGTGATTTAGCACATAAAAACAGAATTGTTGGCCAACAGAGTTCAAGGAAAAAAAGATGCCGCTGATACCAACGTTGTCGAACAGGTCTGTCTGCATTCCTTTGACTTGAAGAAAGAAAATACATGAACACGTATATAAAATGCCATTGACCTTATTAGTGTTTATGGGCACTTTGAAAACTGTGGATCAAACAAGCTTTGGCTTCAGTCATAAACATTTCTTGCATTTGGAAGAGTATGTCAAAGAAACGCACTTCCCTCCAAGTGTTCGGGAAATTGGGCTTTCAGTTGGAATTTCATGGTGACACAAAATGCACTCTGACCTTTAGGCAAACTTAATTTGACCTTCTCTAAAGCGTGGAATGCCCATTTTCGACAGTCAAGTACTTTTGGGAGAACTTGCGATTGTCCACCACAGAGCTGGATGGCAAACATTGACAATATTTCCAAGAGCATCCATTTCTATGCCTTTCTCTGACTCTTCCAGTCTCCCTGATGTAACACGCTGATGACAT